AAAGTGGAAGGATAAATAAAACGCGTCGAAAAATAGAGTGGGTTTTGATTGGATAGCATTATAAATACCTAGAACTAAGCCATTGACTTTTTAATGCTGACTGGCTTTTAAAAATTAAAAGATCATCAAATTTTTTTTGGGAAACAAATTTGAACTCGTCTTTGAATACTTGCCAAATGAGTGCTAATCGCCCGTCGCGACATCACAGCAGTATAAAATACGCCTCCGCAGACCATGATCGATTAAAACGTGCTTTATTACAACCTGTTCAGCCATGGCATGTTTTTTTTGTCAATATTTGTTGTGTTTGTTGGTAGTCGACAGGTTTTGACTTGCGATTTTTTTCTTTATAGGGATAGGAAATTAGCATACCCATCACATGGCTCCAAGAGATTAAAAATATTTAAATGGGTGAAATGTAAATATAAAATGCGTCTATGCGTCTACTTTATTCTGTGCAGATCGTATTGAATTCTTTTTATTGATTAAAAAATAGCTGACAGGAAAATAAAATTCGATGATGATGAAGGTGAAGAAGAATCTTTACGGAACATGGTGTCTGAGGTGAGATCCCCAATTATGAACTTTCACCTAATTCAGAATTTTCTGACTGCTATTATTATTATTATTATTACTGGATGTTTGATTTTTAATGATAGGATATTTCCACACCAACCGCTTCAATTATACAACCACTTACAGCAGCTTCTACACCCCAACCCTCAGAACCTGAACCAGATTCCACGCCGAAACCAATTCACACTTATCAAAATCATCAACAAACAACGCAAAATCTACGTCCTCCCTCGTTGATTGCCACCGCTGTAAAGCATGCAACACTAATGCGTGAATCCTCGTCGGCAATGTCTACACCTCCTGCGGATATATTCGTCGTGAATACGGATAACAATACACCGCAGCATGAGACAGGTGGCGTTTCCGGTTTGGACACGCCTGATCATGAGATTGAAGAGACAGAGGATGAAGAATTAGAAGCGGAAGAAGTTGGAGGGTTATCTGATACCGGGAATATTCGACGTAGTAGTCAAGAATTGATGCGGTTTAATCTCAATGATAGTACTTCCCAACAAGTAACAGCACAATTGAAACGCGAGGATGAGCGTCAAAATGGAGACGAAGCAGATGATGATCAGGATGAAGATGATATGATGGATGAAGAAGAGGAGGAGGAAAATGATGATGATGATTTAGATCGCGAAGAACATGAGGAAGAAGAAGAAGAAGAGCAAGATCATGACGAAGAAGAGGAGGAAGAAGAAATAGATGATGAAAATGACGAGGCAGAAGTGGACCAAGAACAAGATAATTATAATGAAGAGGAGGATGAAGATGACGAAAATGAGGAGGACGATGACGATAATGACGATGATGAATTCGAAGAAGAGCTAGAAATATACAATCAACAATCGCAAAATCAGCGAAACCCTAATAATCAACATTACACATTACACCATCAACCACTTCATCATCATCATAATAATCACAACAACTATCTTCATCAACCAACCAGTTACGTAGAAATGCCAAATAATCATGAATACTCGGCCACCGCCGTTCCTACAAATAACAATTTCAGCGAACAACCAGTTGTCGAGTACACCAATGAGTTTGACGACGGTCAAGAAATATCGTATGATGACATACAACAGGCGGCCGCTTATCGGCAACAGATTGGCGAAATTTTGGCGCAGGAAGAATCGGATGATGGTGAGATTGAGGAAGCGGAGTATAACGATTTGCAAGAATTATGATTTGTTTTGATTTTGTTGGCTTAATTTAATTGTATAGGTAACCAGTAATAAAGATAATGTTGATAATTGATTAACGCGACGTTACAACTATTAATATATTTCAAATATTCAGATAAACGTAAAAATATATTCATAAATTGAAATTTATTTGAACCGAATAGAATATAATATTTGGAATCAAGATTTTTTGTTATTTAATAACAGGGGATAACTTATAGGGTGGGTTTGGCTCGACCCATGAAAAAATCGCAGATGTAGCAAACAATACGTTACAAATTATCGTTATAGTGGACTTGCGTCTCCAGATGTTAAGTCACGAGTATGAACGTGTGACATGCGTACCATCCCAAATTAGAAAAGTATAAGAGAGTACTATTTTCAAAGTTTTTTTTGCTGATGTAGGATTTTGAATGATTAGAAGCTTTTTCTTAGACAATATTTCATAAATAGATTTAGTTGTCTTGCAGTTTAATAAGATACAACAAATTAAATTGCACCTATTTTTCTGAAAGATCAAGAGAATCCTGTATGTTCTTTTTTCATTCACCATTTTTACCTTCGTGAATGACTTTCCATGTTTTCGCTATATTTTTATGAATCAATAAGTGTCCAATTAATGCCAACCTAATTTCTTGGTAAATTAATTTCTATTTCAAATTTTATAGGAAGACTTTTCATTCTAACCATTACCTTGTTTTTTACGATAATAAAGAATCATCATCCGATATCCTCTTTATTCGGTTAGGGTTAAGATTATATAATTAGAACAAATTTTTATTTGTAACAACTTCGAAACTGAATATTTAAGATTAGGATTAATAATAACCCTTTTCGCGTCGTGGATAGACAGACATGACTTTTATTTTTTTTTTAATTTTATACATTTTTTTTCTAAAAACAATTCACTTACCAAATCTAACGTTGCGTTCCATTACTAGGTTTAGTCTATGTAAACATTAAGAAGCTGGGTCGACATTTACCTCAATCATGAGTTTGAATAGGTTAGGGTTGGGATTAGAATTATTAAAAATCAAAAAAAATTATAAGAAATGATTGATCATTGTGTCCCCAAATAGCCATTTGGGCACATATGATATACACGTGTTCATCTAAAATCACGTAATTTTTTTTAAACTATACAACGACGTCTCTATAGTGTCTCTAGGTAGCCGCACCACCTTTCTACTCAAGCGAATTAAACCGATAATGTCAAGAGCTATAAATCAAAAAGGTTTTGTAAGAAATATTTTTTCACACATTTATTATCCGAGTAAGGACTCGTCATAGTGGCATCAAAAAAAAACACGATAATTATTAATGATCATGACAACTAATAATATAGAAGATTTGACTGTATATCTACATGAACAATTATCGAAACGCATCTTGTTCCTCGACGGAGGAATGGGCACTGTGATTCAAAATCTTAAGCTGACAGAAGCTGATTTTCGTGGCAACCGTTTCATAGATCATCCAAAAGATCTAAAGGGTAATAATGATATTCTGGTTCTGACACAACCTCATCATATCAAAAATATTCATTTGCAGTATCTTGAGGCTGGTGCCGATTTTGTGGAGACGAACACGTTTTCGTCGACTTGTATTTCTCAGGGTGATTATGCGGCAGAAAAATACGCATATGAACTGAATAAAGTGGCCGCGCAACTTGCAAAAGAAGCATGTGTTGAAGTATAGTATCTTACGCAATTTAATTGATTTATCTATTTGACTTACCTGTAATTTCGTGTTTCTATCTTAAATAAAAAATATTTAATATAATTGTTAAATTTATGTTTACTGTAATTGAATTTTTATCATTGATTTATTTGTAAACTATAAAAAAAGATTACCGCCAAGGATTCTAGTAAACCGCGATTTGTATGTGGTGCTATTGGTCCCACGAATCGTACATGCTCTATTTCCCCTTCTGTCGAAAATCCCGCT